CGCCTGCTGAGGCTTCGCTGCTGCACTCGGCATCTCCTAATCAGCTACCATGTGAAATGCAAATTCAGACAGTCTGAAAATTAGTCAAGAAGAATAGAGGATGAGGATGCAGATATGTGAAATATTCATGTGCTTCATGGAAAAAGGAAGACAGCATGAATGACACAACAAAGAACGGCCCCTGACATTCTTGCTATCATTTTGCATTATTGTTCACACCCTACTGTATTTCCAGGCCTCCAGTTCTGAAGTTGGTTATATGAACTGCCATATTTATAGTCTGCAACAAATAATAATTAAAAACGGCCCAGGTAAAATGACTAATTGGAAAACCCACAAAGAGGTATAATGCATAAATTACACAGTAGATCATTATTTCATCCTTTGTAACGTCACTGAATTATCTTTTGAAGTCCATTTTCATAAAAGGGCAAGAATTGTCACTGTAAATACAAAACAAAACGCTGGGCAGTAATCTTTTATTAATAGTCCAATCACTGTCTTTGAATGTAAAAAAATTTCAGGTTCAGAATTACAACCCCTACTCTAAGTGAAATTGCACATTGCTTTATGTTTATTAAAAGTATTTCAGCGCTTGTGTTTATTTGCGTTTTCAAAGTAATCTTTAATTCATGTGGGCTGAATTCAATTAGAATTAGTTACTAATACGTGTTCTTTGGTTTACAGCTTCTATCAGTTTGCCCTGTTCTTTTCAAAGTGGGAAAGTATTTCAAAACTGGCATCTCGGAACACTAACAAGCAAGCGTTTATATTTTTTCATTCTGTTACTAGCACTAATATTTAAATGTATTTTATTTAGTTCCTTTTCATTGTAGAGCTTAAAAAAGCAAGTACCCCCCCCTTAAATGCATTAATGACAGTAAAGAACTGTTACCTATCAGCTTAAAACAAACACTGCTGCGATATGCATGGGTATATTGTTCGAATTCAATTATATTATGTCTGCCTACATTTCTCTGAAATTTACTATTAGTGTTGTCAAGAACCACTCCTTCTTGCAACAGAACTGCCGTTCAATTGTATCGAACGGCACATCGCAGTTTTATAATGCGGACAAATGGGAACTAAACAATTCATTTTTACTAGTGAGTTACATTATACCTACTTTAATGCAAGCCCCTAGAGAAACAAGGCTAGTGCACTAATTTACTGTGCAACATAAACTTGTATATTTGTGCTTTTAGGAAAGCATCCTATAGATGTAAGACTCAATCCCATTCTGGCACGTAGAACAGATCATTGGGCATTCTGGGAAAGCGTTTTGTCATACTTGCAAGGAAGCTCAATGAAATTAAGCAGCTAACAGTATGAGGTTTCCATCATTAATCCCCCAAAATTTACAATCATATCAGAGACTTGTTTTGACAGGAACATTTGAGCGAGTTCAACGAGCAAACACTTATGGGCATAATCTGCAAATAACATAAAATCACAAAAGTTCATTTACTTCCCTGGAAGTGTGCCAGCTTACATAAACTGAGGATCTAGCCCATGAAAAGGAAAATTTCTTACTTCCTCTGAATAGTGATCTGAAGGGAGAGGTGGGTAGTCACACTGTTCTATCTTCTTGCACAGGGAGTACAAGTTCATTTTATCACCATAAAAGGGACTCTGCAGTGCAGCCATCTGTTTAAAGAAAATGTACAGTTTTCTTTTGTGTTTTTAAGTAAACCTGTTTTGTCATAAAATCTGTAATACTAACGAATCAAAATGACTTTTAACGGCTTTCGATTCCCTGCTTGGAAGTGTCACAGTGCTAAAAACAGAAGTTCCAAAACTATTACTGTAACCAGTGTGTGTACTTATTCTGTGTCGCACAGTCGTACCTGTCACAATCCTTATATTGTAATATTCGAGTTGTATACAGTAACAGTTTAATAGAGTATGAGGAGAAATTGAGTAGTTTCTGATACTGCTGTGGGCATGGAGGGTCCTTGCACCACGGGGGAGACAAAAAAAACCCAAAACCCACAATGCAGTTTTCCTCTGAAGACCTTTTGGAAAAAACCACGTAATTTATTTGAAAACGCTATCTGATCTAAAGCAATACCGTATGATGAAAATGCCGGATAACAGTAGTAGGTTTTGTAACCTTCCATAGCTATTACTAGACTTGGATAAAGTTTGTTTTGTTTTTTTTAAAGCAAGAAAACTAAAGGTAATGTCTATGCTTCCAAAAAAACCCAAACACTTCGTAATTCAGTATGTTATTTGAAAATACTTTAAAAAAATCCCGAAACATCATCAGAAGTGCAGAACTGGCACCCATGACCATAATTTACAATTGTAATACAAAAGTAAGAATATCTGTTGGAGAGCACTTAAATAAATGATCAGCTTAAACCTATGCTTTATTTCCAGACAGTGTTACAACTTGACATTTAAGGTGGAAACAAACGCTATGGTTAGCAGGATTACAAATTTAAAAATTCATTTAAAATATCTCCATTCCGTTCAAAGCCTTCCAAGTCTTTGAACCGCAACAGCACGAATGCTGCTTTGAGCGCAGTGCTGCCCCGAAGTCAGTCACCCTTTTCTACATGTGCTAATAAGTTTGATTTTGGAAGGACAATGTGTACATTCCCCAGACAGGCAGAGTGTGTGTGAAACACGCTAGTCCATGCTGTGCTACTCAGTGAGCTTCAGCAGGGACAGGACAAGCTGAAAATGGCTCTCATCTGTCTTGTGGTCTTCCAGATAGCAGTTTAACTCTTTCATGTCTAAGCACCGATACCACTGGGGGAAAACGTATGAAGAAAGTTACCAAAATTCTCTTACGTTTACTTTATATCTGATAAAAATGCTCTCAAATCGTTCAGTACTTTTGCATATTACCTTCAAGTAAGAATAAATAATTTTAAAGCTTGCAAAACAAATACCATACTACAGTTCCACCCTACAATCCTCCCAAAAATTCTGTAACTGTATTACCAAAATAATGTTAATTTTTTGAGATTTACATGACATTGTCTCTTACCTTAAAAAGAATGTTAAAAATGCAAGCTAAAGACCAAAAAGGAAAAAAAAAAGAAAAATCAACTGCAGGATCTGTACGCATGCAGAAATTCTAAATAAATGCACAGATACTCATTTTCCTACTCTAGGTGTTCATTAAAAAGTACTTTTGTTTGAATGCTGCGGAGTGTTAAAAAAAATTCTGAATGTCCCCTAAGGAGTTAAAACAGGAATACTATATTTTCATGCATCTCCTGCTTTGACAGATGAAAAATGTCAACTGTCCTGTTTTTATTTTCAAGCTTTTGCACTATTCATCTGGTTCATTAGTGCATCTCGCTGCTGCCCCTGACAGCTGCTCGCCCTCTCCTCCCAGCAGCTGAATTTTTCAGGCTAATTTGATCCTCCACACTGAGACGATCGCTAGAATGATTGACTTGCTCCCTGACCTCCAGGGTCTGACTTTCCTGATTAGTATTCTGGGGGTGTCTGAGGGACGAAAGCCCACTGTCTGTCTTCGGGGCTGGTGGCAGCTCGCTCTCTCTCTTTTTTTTTTTTTTCCCTTTTTTTTTTTCCCCCTTTTTTTTTTTTTGAACTGTAAGCCACCAACCTACAACCCTGTAAGGATGCAATTGCTACGCTGAACAATAAAAGGAAATGTGTAAAACCTACTTTTCCATGTAAAGGTCCATGTAGCAAAAGCACAGCATCTTGATTTTAATTAGTAAAGTCTACTTTGTTGCATATCAATTAAAACTCCAGTGGTAGTGTTTTTGAGGTTTCAGAAATACCTGGGGCTCTAAAGAAAAATCAGACTTTAAAATATACTTTTAAAAATCTTACTGGCCACATAGTTAGCACTGAATAATAGACCGTAATATAGGTTAAAAATAATAATTTTTAAACAACATACATTATAGCAAATTAGTCTAAACTTAAATTAAAACATAACTGAAAAGAGTTTAGTAGCAATTAAGCATTTATTGAGAAGTGATAAACATGCCACAGCTTTTTCTCCAATTAAGCTGGAGAGAATCCAGAGCACATATGAGCACATAGCAACATGAAATCAATATAATAAACATGCTAAAATGCGGGCAAATAGACATACCACAAAAAGATAGCCAGCACAAAACTGCACGGATAATACCTTAAGTAACCACTTTCAAATAAGGGCGGGGGGGGGAGGGAGGGGGGGGAAATGCTAAGCATATATTTCAGTTTACTATACTGAAAATTTCAAAATTACGTCTCAGTGATCAATTAAAAACCCACACACACAAAACCAAAAAAAAACCCACCACAAACATCTGGTATGTTATTGAATTAACTAAATGGGATAAATGCACCTCTAAAAAAAAAAGCTATAATTGAAGACACTGCCATATACTGTAGCTATATAATAGATATCAACAGTAAGTATCCTAATAATTACTTTATTCTTACAATAAGGAAAAAACACAAACACAACACCATATCAACTTAAATACCATGCTAGTGAAACTTCGAAAATAAATAAAAAGAGAATGGTATTTAAAGATGGCAAGTTAATCAATGGAATTAAGATACTCAGCTATTTTGAAATTATTTACCAGATCAAAGAAAAATTTAATATTCCTATAGGTGTTTAATATACTGTACCAGCATCAAAGCAGCGAGCTCAAAACCCCCAAATTTTCTTCAGAAAAGTGCTATTGATTTCTATCCAGCAACTTTATTTCATATAACACAGAAGAAAAATTAACCTTAAAACATGTTCTATATAATAATTAGTTATTCAAGAGTTTTATTTGTTTGTTCCCAGATTTTAAGAAATTCCTCAAGAAAACCAATGAGGGGAAAAGAAACAGTAATACTGAAAAATCCTCACCTACCTTTATGCTATCTTTAGGCTCCTGCTTGCACAAGTGTGTAAAGCAGAGCACTGAAATTGATGGCAGTTGCCACGGCCAGTACTAAGGAACCCCAATATGGGATTAATTTTCAGTTCAGGATTTAAACTTCTAAATACTTGTTATCAGGTATCGGACTTCATTCCTGTGAATTGTCCCAAAGACTTGGAAGCAACAGCTATACACAGATCTGTAAACTCTGCAGAATTGCAATATAGCTATTTGCCCTTTTAATATTTAAAGCAACATGTTAGTGACAGAAAGTAAACTAATATTACTGGGGACAATTCACCTAGTAGTAACAGACAACTTCAACAGGCAGACAGTGCTTTCTACAAAATCCTAAAATAACAGGAGGTGCCGATCCTGTTGAATACCTGTTAAATGAGTTCTGCTGACTCACTGAGGCAGGTGGCTTGCAGGTAAATGAAAAGTGAGTTGGGTATATTAGTTTTTATCTGGAACATGACTAGAAAGACTTCACTGCCGTTGCTGATGGAAAGAAATTTTTTTCCAGCATCCTTCAACACAAGTGTTTAGTCTTTTGATCAACAAATGATACGCAAAGAACTTTGAAGACGTAGTTGCCTTAGAAGCCTACCTGTTCTTCACACCTTCATTTGCCTCAATTTCAATTTGCCCTATATCTATTTTCTCAGAATATGATACCATTTTAAATTATGTGTCACCTACCAATCTCTACCATATTAATACAGAAATTAACCAATAATTATAGTTTAACCAATTAGAGGAGAAGAAAGAGCAGAAAAATTCCATGTCTGTGCAGCAGAAATCATTATCTTGAAAGTTAATCCAAGCTAGTAGTAATAAGTACACAGTAATCCTTTTTTTTTTTATTGTTTTACTTAGGTTTTAAATAATTTTAAAGAAATTAAACTTGTATTAAAATAACTACATTGCAGTTTTTGAAAGCGTTAGTTGCATACCCATCAGACCCACTATTTCTCAAGGCATTTATTACCAAAACCATATAATCAGCATAGGCCATTAAAACACCTAGAACAATTTTACATGTGCTTGCCATTATTCATTTATTAATCCTTCAGTTATGCCCAGTCTTCAACAAATTGCTATAAAATCTTGTAGCAAGCCCAGTAAAAGGCAAGTCGTGAGTAACACACAAATAAAAGTATTTCATACGCTGAAGTTACATAGGAATTCTCATTGCTAATATTAAAGACAGACATATAACAGCTGAAAAGTAGCTTTTCCACAATGCTACATACTTTTCTAAACAACAAAAATATAGAAATAGATCCTAAAACAGTACTTAATACATTTTGGGGGGGAGGGGACTGGGGCAGGGGAGAAGCACAACAGTGTTAAGTTCACTGTATATATCAATATTACCTCATACAGCAGACAGCCTAGAGACCAGATGTCAGATTTGAAGTTGTAACCATTTTCGTGTATTCTCTCTGGAGACATATAATAAGGTGTACCAACTGCAATAAATACACAAGTATTTTTGAATGAAAATTTCTGTTTTTATGTAGTAGTAAAAGTACGGGTTTCCTGGCTGAAAAACATTTTTCATCTTCTACATTTCTCATTTTGCTACACGTATAATTTCAATTCATGCTTACGAGTCTTCAGTTTGATAGAAATACACATGAATTAGATATTTATTTCATCCAATGCAGCTTTATTTTCACTACTGATATCTAATTACCAGAATTACTCAGTTGTAGAATACTTCCAATTTTTTGCTTTTAAAGAAGCTCAAAAATAATTATTTTCTTCTGAAGAGAGCCAAGGGAACATACTACATGCTCTCACACACACACACACACCCCCATTCCTTTCCAAACTGTTATCACTGTGGCTAGAAATAACGACAGCTAGAAATTCTCATCCATGGCTTGAATTTTTTTTTTTTTTAAATGAGTTGTCTGTTCTTCCTTTTGAGAATATACAAATCTAAAAAAGCTGCTTTTGAAGCTAATAAACACAATTTAGTTTGAATATCTGAAACTAAAATTAAGCCTGAAATCCAGGATCTTCAGCTTCCCAGAGAGGAAGGCAGGAAAACCTGCGAGCCCAGCAGAAGCCGAGGTTCTTACGAGCAACTCGGCCATCTGCTGCAGGACTAGACACTGCGAGGGCTTTTCAGCTCCCAAATCCGTGGCTGTCCTAGCTTAATCCTGCCTCAGAGCTGTGGGCTCTGGAGACGTCTGCGCTTGAAAAGCAGCATTTACCAGGACTGTCCCAGAGCAAATTTGCATTGGATACTCCGGGACATCTCTCCCCTTGATCTTAATCAGACCCCACCCATCTCTGTCACAAGTTACTTGGAAGAGATGTTTCAGCTCTGTAAAAAAAGCCATTAAAAAAAAAGTACCGAGTGATGGGTTCATATGTGACAGATCAACAAAAAAAAGAAGTCACGAAAAATAATGGCAGTGGCAATTTTGGTGCATTGCCTCTGAAGTTTCTCCCTATAACCACTCAAAATGACTGCCTAACAGCAAGAAGAGTCACAGATCTGTGTAGATTTTTGCTTCAATTTTGTGTGGAATATTTTCCCAAGCACTGAATCCTGATGATGCAAACCAACTGGATTCTGTCAATTCAATACAAGTTGACCTTATTTCAAAACTAAAACATCTTGCAACACAGCCAGAGATTAAAATCAGCACTCTCACTGCAAACTACGAAAATTAGAGTATGAACCTCACACTATTTTATTTAACAAAAAGATCTCCTATCACTTCTGCACTTCTGAATTAGCCTCCTCTATTCAGAATTCATCTCTGTATGAATACTGGAAACAGATACAGTGAATACATAAGTAACTCCAAATCTGAATAATCAGGTTAATAGTTTTAATTAATCAGATTAATAATTTTACTCTAATCATTTCCAAAAGTTAAAGGTTTTGCTTTGACAGTGTGCCCTATCTTTTAGAAAGGCTAACATCTCAAACTATGTCATACTTTCCTGGGGGGGAGGCGGGAGGGAGGGAAGTACTTTCCTACTTGAAAGGCCCAGCTCAGATTGGGAAACCCAGTACCACCTCATCCCAGGTCAGGCCGCTGCTGCTGGTAGCCCGTAATTTCAACCGATCTCCTTCTCAGCAAACAATATTGGAAACAATATTCCAAACCAATATAAACTGAGAACGTGCTTCTCTAACAGATATGCAAGGACAGGGGTCCCATATTGCATCCTACAATGGATTTAGCCCCCTAAATATTCTGGGGGAGACTTCCAGCCCTGGGAAAGCGGAGGGTGCCGCAGCCCCTCTCCCCAGAAGCTCCCTTAGCACTGGCCTGAGGAATCACTGCAGCTCTGAACTGAGACTGCGAGAAATCAAGAGCTTAAAAGGAGAACGGCTGGGGAAAGGCAACTCAAAATGATGGAGTACTGTGAAAACTATTTACCCTCATGGGATGTTCATTTTCACCCACAACAGAGGAATGGTCAAGAGGGATGGTCTTTTCCCTGTGAAAGAATAGGCAGGCATGTGGGTGGACTGCAACACCAAAACAGCTACCAGAATATCCAGAAGCAACTGTTATTCTAATGTATCGACAGCAGTACTTTAATGGGTGTTTAATGACAGCTGTCTTAAAATTGGAAACTGTAATTAAACAACATTTGGCATGACACAGTTTTCATATTGTCGTCATCTTTACTGTTGTACTTCCCCCTTGATTTTTTTTTTTTTTTTAACTCCAAAGACTTGTGAGCTTGGACAGCTCTGAAAACTTTCAGCTGTATTTTGCATCCATTAATTAATGCACTGGTTTAGTATATTCTGATGCTTTTTTGGCAGAATTCATCTAAAAAATACGTTTAATAGTAATCTGGTTCTTAGCTGGTTACAGCAGCACTGCCTTTGCTGCTCTGAGACATCACGCAAGTAGCTGGCAGTGAGTAATGTGCCAGGAAGAGGCTTCACAGAATCCACAGGGGGCAGCTGAAAACACAGAGGTTTGAAGGTTCATAGTTTACCAAAAGCAAAGGTAATTTTAACCAGTAGCTCTGGGAAGCCTGCTGATACATTAGGGGTCTGATATGACTGTGAAAGATTGATGATAGTGAAAAGGAAGAACAAACGCTATCATTTTACAGCGTTTAGCCTAGTGTAACACCTTAACTGCAATACAACCTGAAGCCCCCGATGACCAAGTGAAAGGAACTGAAATCACAGTTATGTTAGTCATTGAATCACAAAAACAACCTGAAGATCTAGACATCATTACTACTTGTAAACTGTTTTTAACAGAACATGGCACACAAGGTTCATTATTCTGACATTCAGGAACTACTGAAGGCACTGCAACGATTCTTTAAACGTGTGAGCAATCTCGGTACATAGCTGTACCGCTGGCATGCGACGACCAGATGCGATTATACGTTACGTTTCCTTCCTGGGTCTTTTTTTTTTTTTTCCTTTCTGTTAAGTGAAACACAGCACCACAATACTGTAAGAGACATGCGGCTTACTTTACTCATCTGAAGACACGGAAGTGGGATAATACAAGACAAAAAAGTAACATGTTAAGGTGCCTATGTTTTTAAGAACAAAACCTGTAACTTTAGCACTCTATTCACTGCATTTGCACATCTCGGATAACCTGCAGGTCTGAACGGTAATCTCCTTGAAAATGGCCTGGGTCAAATAAACTGCTTCCTCAGAATCTGCTGCTGCTCGGGAGCTCCCTCCCTTTAAAGATGCTGCAGATCCAGAAACTGTTGTTTCTTTAAGCAAGCTTTCTGCTATTGGGAGAGGCAACGGACATAGTGGAAATGGTGATTATCAGGGGGCAGGAAGCTGGGTCTGAAGGATCAGAGGCAAAGAAACTATTATGAAGAAGGGAGTTATGATATAAACAGCCCATCTTATTGCCTGCATAAATACATAACTCACACTGCAGCTGAATTAAAGAGGAGAGCGTGTTCACTTGAAAACCAACAATGCATCGAGGAGTTGAGTGAAATACAGTAACTAGCTCTAAGTACTATGAAGCATTTTTAAGCTGGGAGAAAAATCTGCCTGGTAAATGTTAATACTACTTATACAAAACAATGTAATGGCTGATTCAGGAGGTGTTTAATAAACTAGGTTTAAAAAAGGCCATATAATTGACATTCCACGCATTAAAATACATAACTATCCAAGTTCAGGAAGGGGGCTAAAATCACTTTAGTAACTCTTCTGATGTTCAAAGAATTCCAAAACTAGACCTCAGTTAAAAAAAAAGGCCAGATTTATTTAAGTAACCAAAAGATATGGTTTATGAATGACTTAATGTCCATGACATCACAGGAATTTTATAATACAGAGTTCAACACAACATGCAAGTGCTTAACAAGACGAATGGTTGACACTGAAGATAAACAAACTAAGTTACAAATAAGCTGCAGTTATGGAACAGTGAGGGTAACCAACCACTGACGTGACAAATTCTCCATAACCTTTTTTTTTTTTTTACTTACTTATTTTAATATAGGTGTAGGAGATGTCTAAGTCACAGGCTCATCTTCAACCACAGATACGGGACCTAGAATACTGCACTTATCCAAAGTAATTCTGCAACCTAGCCTACATTATGCAAATAGTCTAACTGCAGAAATCAATCTATAAATACCTTGGGTTATTTTATAATGCAGCATTGTAACAACACAATAATTTATCTTCAGCTTTCAAACTACCATAAGAGATCTCAGGTTTTTGTACATAAAATAGGAGCTGTTTTAATACAGCTTCTTTGAGGACTGCGATGCATCAGCTGCAGATTTCCCTGCCAGCCTTCCTGTACACGGAGGGTGATAACCCTCAGAGCAGTTTGGTTGAGAGTATGAAAGTGGAGCTTATTCTATTCACAGCACAGCGGTGCTGCATACCACCACCTCAGCACTGGCTCTGACACCCTCTGCTGGGTTAGAGATCCATATCTAAGAGGAAAGGAGAGTATCTGCACGCATTTTTACAAGGTATTTTATTCCCCACAACCTGCATGAGTTTACAGTCAAATCCCTGTAACATAGCTCTATACTGGGGACAGGAGTACGATGGAAACGACAGAAGTTGTCAAACTGCAGAAGAAACCAGAATTCAGTACAGATGATCCTTTGCTTTCAAGCATTTTAAGAAGATTGCAGATCTGTCCCTTTGCCCTGCAAGAAGGTATTCACATCATGGCAGCAGCGTCTGCCTGGACAGCATACTATGCAGCCCTCTAGCACAACCACAATGGAGAACTGATTTTTTTTTTTTTTGTAATTGAAATACTACAATATGGACTATCCTTAAATCCACTGAATGGCTAACAAAGATAAAAAAATGCACATTTCCATGAGCTGGCCTCAGAATTGCCATTTCATCAAAAAGCATAAGGCCTGGCATTCAGCCATTAAAAAAACAACAACAAAACCACCCTAACACACACAGTCATAGGGAAATGACTAAGAAGCCTTTCTTGGATCATCTTCCCCTTTCTAATAGAAAGTTTTCTGAAACCAAGAAATTTTGTCAGGTTTGTATGGAATCAACAATACCAAATGCCACCATTTCCTTTGTGCTTTTGGAAGGAAGATTTTCTATTTTCAAAAAGGTATATACATGCCACAACAGAAAATTCTACTGTTTTGATAAGGCTGCATAGAAAGAGTTAAGAACATTAACAAACCCTCTCCAGTGCAGTATTTTCATTTGTTTTAAATGGACCACCAGCAAGTATTCTAATTAAATCAGTATTATTCATAATTAGCAGTTAGAAGCTGTAGCTAATGAAAATTTTAGTACATTTCTTTATCTCTGAAATCTACTGAAATTTTTATAAAGCCTGTAAACAAGTATAAATTGCTACACATAATATGTTTGTAATTCACTGGGTTTTGTGCACCAAAGGTTTATGGAATCATAAAAAGATACAACTTTGAAAGAAATTTGAGGAAAACCAGCATCAGAAACTGCACGAGAAATTAATGTTAAAAAGTGGTCTCTGCTAGTGACACGATAAATCAGAGTGTCACTGTCTCCACTGTAGCCTAAGTTAACAGCTGAACACAACCTTTTTTCTAGGCTGAATTCTGACATTAGGTCATAATTAGGAGGGAAATGGGAGAAGAGGAGACGGGGAAAAAAGAAAATAAAAAATAACAGATCCTCTACCAAGACACAGCACCCAACATCAGAAACAAAGCTTCCATCCCCCTACCCCTGCTCTCTGGATGGCTCTTGTATTTGTAAGAGGTGAGCTTTAAAGGGCTTGAGGGTTTTACGCTGGTTTTAACTCTAGCTCAGTCTTCGGTCCCTTTGCCACCATTCCCCTGCAACGAACCAAAATAACCCAGGGTTGAAGCAGTTTGTTCCTCTTTAACTTCCTGACTTCTGCCTTAGAACACAAGTCTAGCTCTCCCACCCTCACAACTGACTTTTGCCTTCTCCACGTGCTCCTGCCCACAGATTAGGATTCTCAGCTTCCTGCAACTACAGTCCAGGAGCAGCTCCCTCTTCACACTGCTCATTTACATCCTTCTTCCATTCGCAGGCAGTAGCAGGACCCAACTATGACAAATAAGATCTCCACAGTGCTGCCAGAGACGGCCGCTGGGCTACGATGGCAGCGTGAACAGCAGCACTTTATATAATGCACTGTGCCATGAACTAGCGTCAGATCTTTAGGGTTGTATCTGAACTTCGACATGGAACCCAAGCACGTTTCCAGTCTGGCCTCACTGTTTCGCCTCTGTCTCTTTTTCTCTCTTTTTTATTAATGCAAGATTGCACGTCTGTATCAGAGTTTCACCTCAGTCCTATCAAGAACTCGGCAGTTACTCATGGTTTTGACTATACCAGTATCAGTATGCACCAAACTTGATAAAAAGAGGAGGGCACAAAAGAGTGACACAAAAGAGTGAAAGCCCAAAGGTTTTCTGGAAGACAGGGAAGTAAGGATTATATCAAAAATGTCCTTTCTAAAATAGGGTTTTTTTGGCTGTTTACACAAGTATCACCCACACCTCAAATGTGGTACAAACATGCTGAACATCAATCCTCTCTCTTTTTCCACACTGTACTGATAACTGGGACTATCTGAATAAAGTTAAAGAGGTGAGGATAAATATGGCATATTTTAATCCAAGAAGTCTGATATTCCATAGTCTAATTAGAAACATCAGCATCTGAGCAAACACAATTCTTTTTGTGTCCTCCCATGGCCCTAAGACAGGGATTGTAAGTATTACTTAACCATTCTTGGCTTTCTTAGATATTATCTTCCTTACCATGCACTCTTGTCAAACATATAAAAATATCCAAATGTCTAATTACAGACTTGTCACCATCATTTGTTAAAAATTCTCACTGAGTAGCAGTTGAATTGATTTTACCTATCTGTATTCAAGTACCAGCAAGGTGCTCTGCCTGCCTCAATACGCTTTGGAAGGAACAGGAGACAATTCTGGATGCTGCCATCAATGGCCCTGCTCTTGAGGGGTTTAAAAGTTCATTTCACGCCCTTCGCAGACAGTAAACAGGCTTGCATTCAGCAACCACTAAACATAGCCACACCAGCAGGAGAAAAGAATTTTTTTCTTAACTAAAAAAACCTACATAACCATTCTACAAACACTAATTCCTACATTTCTCTTTAAAGCAGATGCTACTCTATTTACAAAGCTTTTCTCTTTTAGAGAGATCCTCTTAGATTCTGTCATTAGTCCATTCCCTATATTTAGACTTAAAACATCTGCCAAATTTTTACTTTTTCTTCTTTAAAGGCTTCTTAATCATCCTAGTCTCCACATGCTACCCAAAAGATGCAAATTATATGAAAATTTTGTTTGGAAAAGATAATACAATGTTATTTTTTATGTGCTAGCAAAGAATAAATTGGGCATTTCAGAAAGTTTTTTTCTATTCTTATATAAATAAATTTTCTGGGATTTTTTTGTTTGTTTTTTTGGGTTTTTTTTTTTGTTTGTTTTTAAAGTTTTTGTGGTTCGTAAAGCCTAATTCTGATCTCTCGTTAACTTACTTAGCTTATATTGAGAGACTCCACCTTAACACAGGGAAACTTCTCTATTAGACCTTTCAAAGCATATAACCAACACATTGTCAATGCTACCCATACAGGCACACAGAATTACTAGATTCTTTCCAACTATGATTAAAGTTCAAATAAATTTTAAAAAATGCATCCGTATTATTGATCTTATTTTTTCCTAGCATTTCCAGAAAACACTGCTGTCATGAAGACTTGTTTTGAGCCCGGAATGTACATTAAATGATTCAAACAAAGGCGGGGGGGAACCAACGATCTGTACTGCTGAAAGTGACACCTCAGTGTTACAGCTTTTCTGTATGTCTCCATGGTGCTGACCATTTTTTTTTATTATTAAGAAAAGCTTTAGCTGGACCTAACCCTTTTCTTCCTCCTCATGAGTGGACACAGTATTTCCACTATGTAAAAAAATCCACCTCCCCAAAACCTGTACCTCAGAGAAAACTTACCTAAAGAATGTGCAGCTGTGGTTTTGGAGCTGAAAAATCGACCAAGTCCAAGGTCTCCAAGCTTTACTACCCCTGTAGCTGTAATGAACACATTAGCTGGCTTTATATCTGAGGGGGGGAAAAAAAATTAAGAAATTTAAAAGTCACAATGAGGTAGACAAGACAAGCTACTGCTCTATTAATAACAGACCAAAAGAGGCTTTTATTTACAGCTAATATTAACAAAATTTGACTGTGCTGTTCAGAAAGAGCGAGTCTGGGATTCAGAATGTCAAATTAACTATTTTAATAGTACAAACATCGCTCAAGCAAAAAATTAAGAGCCATGGAAAGTATTTTAAAAAAAAAGCAAACAAAAAACCAAAACAAAAAAAACCCACACCCAAAGAAGCATATCCAGGGAGTTCATTACTACTTTATATAAGCTATATATAAGGACTCCATTAGAACTAGAAAACCTCTCATTATGTCTTAAGTAACAGACCAAAACTGTTTTCAAGAACTGTAAGACAATTTTTCATCACTTTTGCTGATCAGATTACCCACAGTGGCATGATGTTATTTATTTGAAATAGGTAACTGATTCTCTTTAATAGCAGGCATTAAAAAAAGAAGCCAGTTTTACTCAGGAGAATGGTTATTTGAACTCGTCAATGGAATTGGGCTGATCAAGTAGAAACAAAGAAAAATAATGATGTATACCCCAGACAGTTATTTTTCACAAGTAATATTCAGTTTAAGTTTTAATCCAATCCTTTAGAGACAACAGCAAAGATTTTTATTTTACGATTTTTAACAAGGTACCTATCCTGTTAGTCTTCTAAATAAACTGACCTGGTATTTGTTTGGCAAACGTGTTTAGCTCTTACTCAGCTCAAGAGCAACGCACTGTGGCTCAAAACTTAAAGAAAATCACTTAACTTTGGTAAGAGGGGATTACAGTTTGCATAAGATATGGGTAGAGTAAAAGGAATGGTTAATAACCCTTCAAACACCAGCATTTTCAGGTTTCCAACAAGAAGTTACAAAACCTTATAAGCTTTATAAAGGAAGACAGAAGCTGCTATGTTATGCTGCTATCTGACCTAGTTGTCAGGAGTTTGGATCACCCTTTGTGTAGCAATCCAACACGGATATCAGCTCAATTTAAAAGTAACTTTAATTGTCATTGGTTTTGGTGAGTAGCCATGGAATTGTTAGATTTGCCATAGGTTTTCCAGAAGCTTTGAAGGTAGTATTTCAGTCTAAGGAATTTAAACTCGTTTTGGTTTTGAGCTAAAATATACTGAAATAGACTAGTTCAGTCATAAAAGCATTAAAGGAAGATACCTATAACCTATGGAAAGCATCTGTAGTTTTATGTCCTTCTCTTTGTATAATTTGCACTTGCAGATATCTGTACAAATGTGTAAAGGAAAAAAAAAAAAAGAAGAATCACATGAGAAAGCCATTTGCAGAGGCATCTAAGTTGATCTGCTGAAGGGTGCAACATTTCTAGCTGCAAACGACAAAGCTCAGAGATCGAGGGACTTTTGCTTTCAGGCAGCTATTTGCATCCCAGCACAAGGAAGCCACCAATCTAAGACATGTAATTTCACCTGAATCCAGAGAGACAGCCCATATACAACTTGCAACTCATAGCCAGAGGGACTTCCAAGGCAAAAAAAAAAAAAAAAAATATCGTACATCTGAGAAGCAGCTACGTTATAAGATCTGTTTTCTTTGACTCAGACTTACAAGGTAAAATGAAGACAACATACGGAGGAGACAGCAGTACAGAGGTTTAAAATGGGTAAAAGAGATTTAGTACCTGCCAGGGATAGCTGGCAACTACAGGGGCTGTTGGGACACAGTACTTGACACAGAGATTGGAAATAGTGGAGAGGAGCAGAGAAGGGGAGAAAATGCTCATGGCTGCACATAATCCAGTAGATCAGGGAGTAAGAGAAGGGCCTATACATCACCAGGAGGCATGGCAGGAGGCAAATACTTTTGTAAGAAAAAAAGGTGCAAGAGGTGAAAAGAATGGATGGATAGCTGTGCAAGAACGCAGGTAACAATACTTGGGAGAGACAATGGGCAAATATAGAAGAATAAGAACAGGACAGAAAATAAGAGCCAGCTAAACGAATTGAGCAAGCAAAGAGGTAGCAGTGGCAGGGCCTCCATCACTTACAGAACTATCACTTATTTTGAAAACTTGGTATCACAAGCCACTGCTGCAAACAAATGCCTACCACAACAAACGTACAAGGACAAACTTCTGTCACGCTTTTCCATTACTTACAAAACATTACAGAAACATACATTGTGTCAGCTGTCAAAATTGATTCCATTATGACATTATTTGGTGTCATTCGCATGGAACCAGCTTAGTTTTCACATAGTAAAAGGTTTAGTAAAGGCAAATCATCTTTGATCCTATATTACCTCTATGCATAACACGACGAGAATGCATGTGTTCCAAGGCACTGCAAAGCTGAACAAAGTACTTCCAAACTGTTCTTTCAGGAATCAACCTCTTCTGTTTCTTAAAATGCTTAAAGAAAAAAGGATGGAGACTGAATATTAAAACTTAAAACTTGCATAAAATGACTGAAAAAAGATAGAAAATCCTTTATTTAAAAACCAAACACAAGAGGCTCACAACCTAATGAGAAAGGTTTAACAAAATGTGACACAGAAAGCTTTTCCCTTAAATATTAATGCATGTATCATCAATGTGTGTTTAAGTCAGTCAACACAGAGCCACAAGTGACATTAATGAAATAAAACTGCTATCCCAAAAAAGGATTTACATGGTATTTAGCAGTCCTCAGTGCAGGATTAATGTGGTCAGAATAGTCTAGCATAGAGTAAGTGGCCATGGAACAAATAAAGGTCAGATATAAAGGTATGTGCCACAGAACGTCCCAAACGATTATGCTTCCTTACACCAACATCGATTTCCATATCCTCGTTTTCCTAAATAGAAGAAAAAAATAGTAGTGACACACAATCACAAAGAAAGATCATGTAAGAAGAGTCGATCAGATCAGTCTTAGAAACTTCTGCGATAGATAAAAGGGGACTGTGATTTCTGAAAATTTCATAGTGGTCTAACTCCTGTTCAAGTATTTTCCATCCTGTATGAACAACCATTACTGATCACTGGTAACGGTTCAATGGCCTGTTAAAGCTTACATGAAACATAATTGTGCTCTGCTACACACACCTCCTTCAAATATATTCAGGGACTGGAATAACACAGTCCTCCAAAAACACATACTGAAAACCTGGAATTCAGCCAATGCTACAACGTGAAAGTTTGATCATTATAAATTTTGCAGCTGAAGGTAAGACGACTGAAAAATTGTTGCTCTTTTAGTCTCTCTTCTTAAAGAATTCATATTTTGACAGATTTTAAACACATGAAGAAAATATATGAACAACATTAATACTAGCAAAATTTTAGATGGAAAGCAAAGTACTTGGATGTATTTTAATTGTGTGTACATGCACACTTCACAGTCATGCACACCCTAAGAAAGTTCATAAACCAAACATTTATTACTCTGGAAAAAAAAAATATTTTCATATACTATGTTAAAATGTGCCACTGAGAAGTTGACAGCTGCATCTACACATTAGAGACGTGCAGGAGTATGAGAAAGATGTTTTTAAACTAGCTATAGCAAAATGCATCAGTCATACAAAGGATCATAACATTTCACCAAAATGTTTTTAGTTATAGGGATTATTTCAAAATGCATTTTCATTTAAATGAGGCAAAGCATACAAATTACTTCTTTAAATATAATTTTCTCTCAGTCTTGGACTGAATCCAAACAAACCCTGTGTATCTGTTCTCCCCATAGCTGGATTTGCATATCAGAGGATTGTTTGATGTCAACAGGAAGATGGAGACCAGGTTTCTTTTCATTTAAAAACAAATACACAATACATGTAAGTATGTGCACATGAAAGCATAGTTCCTTGATTTAAAATGCATTCTGGAATTATCATAATTATAACTAGGTACTTTATTTAAACATTCTGAATTATCGGGTTTTTTTAAACTAAAAATCTAAGCACAAGCAGTGATGAAACACCATTCACAAAATGTCTGAAACGGGAAGATTTTCCATTACAGTTTCCATTCCAATGTCCTTAAAGTGCATCAGTGCACTTTCAAAGTATTTATGTACAAGTATTCTTTTAACATTTTATTCATTTGCCATCTATAACACTGTAGCTGACTGTACACTACAAAATCGGCTTCAGTTCTTACAGTGCAAGCATGCAGTAACACAACAGTTTAAGACAGTCTCATTCTACTGAAGGTATTAATAATTTTGCCTTATAATAATAACTTCTCTTCCTGAAAGCATCAATAATATTATTAACCCTGTAGAATTTATCCATCTAAAGAGGATGCAAAAGAGAGCTGCTGGATTTACTAACAATGTTTAAACTAAACAAAGAAATAGGCACCATTTTCACTTGTATAGTTTTAAAAATAATCCAGTATCTTTAAAATAAACTCACTGAACATTATTTTCTGTAGTGTAATTAATTACACTATCTTCTTCCATCAAAATACATATTCTCAATGTTTTCTTAGGCTGTCATCCACCAATAGCCAAAATAGCGATGAAAAGCCTCCACTACCAAAAAAGATTGATTTTGCAAAACTAGCTATTGAAACAAGTTATATGTTTCTAGGAAACAGTCCAGCAGGCAGTGTTAATTCTGAGAAAAGTCAATAAGGAAAAGGAATCCCACTCCTGTTTAAAACCTCACCTTCTAACAAGAAATATAAGTTGATGGAAAACATGGTCAAACCTATTTCATGCCGAACAGCATAATTAAATTCATATAGCACATATTAACTGTATTCAAAGCAGGATCCTTTTCTCTCTCCTCCATTTTAAAATAGTCCACAACACAAAATGCAGTTCTAATTGTTGTGGGGTTTGCCCCCTTCCTACAGGGAAGCCAAAATGCAGAAGACATGATGCCAAAAGAATGATTTTTAACCTCTATTGCAGCAGAGCGTAGTAGCACCACAAACAGTTAATACTGAAACTAATTCACAGCCTAGTGCTGTAATGTTTCAAGCATCCTAAGGTCCACGTAATCAAGTTAACTTAATACAGTTATCTCCCACTGTATACAAGTTGCTATTACGTGCCCAAATTTGACCTCAAAGGAATATAGCCTGACATAAAGCTTTCTAAAGTACTCTCACCTTCAAGAGTTTACTATTCTGCTCCTTCCACCTGTCTGAGGCTCAAAGGACAGTCCTGATGTCCCTCAGACCACTGACCTTCTAGGGTGTGACATTAAAAAAAAACGTAATCCTGTTTGAGGGGAAAGATCAGTCTCAACATAGTTGAAACTAGGCAAAAAGGGAACTGCTTGTACATGTGCATTAAAAATTTGGGCAGTGTTGCAAGCTAGTGTTTTATCAGCTAAACAGAGAATACCACGCATGCTCAGGCAGCAGACTGTCTCCCAGCAAGAATTATTTGTTTCAAAAGCCATATCCTATGACATTTCCACCTCTGTCTTTGAGAATGGAATCGCAAAAAAACTACTTTGAAGAGTTTTCACAACGTCAGTACAGATAAAACTGCAATTCAGTCATTTAATGCAACTGGAAATTTTTGTGGTCATCAATTGGCTATTCAAATGCCTTAAAGAGCTTTAAGGTAGGCAGGTTATATCACCAGTTCGTCTTTTCATCCGTTTTTACAGAATGACTGAGCAGTTGCGTTATGGGAAAACAGAACTCTCCTGGTTTTCTCTAATGAATTGCTAAAAGAAAAATTAAATATTCTCCAAATGTTTCCATCCTAGTAAAGTTAAATATAGATGCCCTGCACCTAAACAGCATATGCCATTCAGTTTCTTGGAGGCATACAAAAAAAATTAAGTAAAAGGTAGACAGGGAAAAAAGTTTAAAGTCAATATAAAAGCATGGAATTATATTATACTGAGTTTCTAAAGATGATGCTTTAAAGGTCAAATTCCAAAAGCAAGAGTGACAGCAATTAGTAAATGGTCTTCTCTAGGCTTAACAAGCACAGTTCAGAGAATACTCTTAAAGGAAATATGCTTGACTATGCTTGGCTTTTATAAGAAAACTAAGGATTTCCTGCAGATGAGTAAAGACCAGTGAGCATGGGTGATTTCAGTACAGTTGGAGCTTTCAGATATGACTGCCTACATCTCAGTAACTATGCTTGGAAAACATTTAGCATTCAGTTCCGACGCTAGTGTCGCAGAGAATTTTAAGGTACGATTTAGTCTGGTTTAGACCTCACTGAATAAGAAAAAAAAATAGGAATAAATAAAGATAAAAAACCAATGAGTGTTTAAGCAGCAAACTGGACTATAGAAAGCAAGAGGTTTATGAACATCTCTTGCAGAAAGATGATAAACTTATCATCTAAACAATTTTGCACAGTCATTATTTAACAAAAAAGTCTGTGAAACTGTCAAATGAGCTCACAAAAACATATACCTGGATTTTTCACTGTGCATGCTCTAGGCTAGAGTTGCCTTCTGAAAGAGAGGATTTGAGGGAAAAGTAAAATGAGAATGATCATTTCCTTGCTTTAAATAGATTCCTTTTCCTTTCTTTCACATCTTGATGAGGATCTTGATTGCATCTGTCTGTTCTCATGACTTCACTTCTGGCTTACAAAAATATGAAGAGGTGGTTGTTTTTTGCTTTTTTTATTTTATTGCATAGACTTATTATAACACAGTGATTCAAAAACCGGATACTTGTGGGAAGAAATCTGAACTTCATCAAGAGGAAAATGACACAGAAAGGATTATTACAAGGAACTTCCAAGTAGCACGTGACAAAGTTCTTGGCCGCTTCTGCCTGTGTTTCTTTGGGAGTCTTTTTTAATATGGACTAGCAGAAAGAACAGAGAGAGGAAAGAGGAGGTCAGGCAGCTGTAATAGGAAATTATGGAAGTGTGAGCAAGAGTTCTCACTCTGTGAATACAACAGAAACAAACCAGAACTGGCAAGGGCATGCAGGGTCAAAAAGACACCAGTGAAGATGGACCTCAACATCTCTACATTTCGGAGTAAAGATCAAAGACTCATGTATATTGAAATGAAGTTTCTACATAAGTCTTACTTTCTATTTAAAAGGCTATATAATTCTAGTAGGAAACCAGTGTCCCAGGAGTTTTGTCTGGCTCTGTTCATTCATAAATTCAGCTGCCCATCTCTTTAGACCATGGTAAGTTTTCTGCCATTTTTCCTTGCTTTCTGTGTAGAACAAAAATAGAACTTTCCACCACCTCTCGATTCATTCATCCACAAGGTGATCATTCCCTACATTTCAAGAGTAGCAGCTGTCTCTTAGTTGTAAAAATAGAACAAATACAAAAGAACCCCAAACTATTTGGCATCTACGAACTGAACATACAGAAAGTAACAAGTACTTGGCCAATAAAGTGACTAATAATAACAATAAATAAAAATATTTACCTGGTTCTTTTTCTAACTTTTCTTGACAGTTGTTTACATCTC